AAACAGTAACCCGTGTTTGTCTGACCTTCAGCCATTTAATTATATGTGTGTCAGTGCGTGTGAATATGTGTGTGTGTGTGTGTGTGTGGGTGGTCAGAGTGTATGGTAGAAATGATTACTTTACACAAGCAGCACCCTACAACAGACCCCAGCCACTCCAATGCTGCCGTCAGAGGCCCCCAGGTCGTCCCCACACCTCTTGGGGCACGAGCAAAGGAGAACCACGATCCACAGTGTTTGGTTGTGTAACTGTGGCAATGTGAAGAATTAGGAATAATTCAGATGTGTTTGTCTAAAGTGCTTTACAACTGGGATTGTGACTGGGTTGTGCGAGACTCTCCTGCCTGCTGAAAGCAGGGTTTCCCCCACCTTAACCCTAGAGCCCTACGTGGCTAGAGCAGTGGTCCTGCAACTTCTGGATGTGTCCCCTTGAATTAAATGTCAAAATTTTTATTTGCAAGAAAAATTCTCTGTCCTTTTGGTTCAATTTCACAATTTTGTGTTACACATGAAATCCCAGTGAAATACTTTTGCAGTTTGTTAGAAAAAAAACAAAAAACCTTTGGAAAAGTTCAAGGATGTTATTCTTTTTAAAATGGTGAAACCAGGGAGTACTAAAAATTGGAATATGAACATGTCTGACAAAAACTAATATGAATCAGATTTTGGGCAATTTTTCCTTTGCACTTCTTTTCATTTCTTGACCCTGCTGAACAATATGCAGCTCAATCAAAAGTTATCCCTCAGCTAAAAAATTTAGGAAACAAAGTAGATAAACCATTTTAAAAATGTGCCTCGGTCAAAGACGGAACAAATTTATGTCGACTTGTCTCCAAAACTCCCACATTAAAAAAGATGCAGACAGAAAGACACACAGGAATCTGGCGTGCAACCGAAGCCTGCAGCAAATCAGAAAAGGAGATGTCTGATCGGCCGCAGGATCATTAGATTCCAAACAAAACGACGTCCCAAACCTGAGACACGCCGAGACACACAGCCAAAGACGCTCAGAGGCAGAAGCTGTAAGATGTTCAACAAGGAGTGGGAGAAAGTGAAGACCAAAGGGGGAGAATGCTTCGTGAGTGAAAGGCCATCTGCTAAATCCCTGGCAGTGCCAGTTTCCTAGTCGCTCCCCATCGTTTGCACCTGCCAGCCTGCCAAGGCAACCTCAGGAGGACAAAAGAGCAAAACTTCACATGCAAGCCACACATGCTTGCAAACGCAGACTCGCCGAGCTGAGCAGTAACGGCATGCACACAGCAATAACTGGTGTGATTTGTCAGCAGCGTGCTGCGTCTGAGTAGCTTTGGGTGTTTTTTCATGTTTTCCCTCCCGCTGTAACAATAGCATAACAGCACTTTATTAAATGAGAACAGGAGAGAACAGAATCGCCTGCAAATCAGCTTGTTTATGTGGCAGAGTCGTTCGGTACGCTGCCGGCGAAGGCTGCGGCGGATGGTGAAAGTGTTTGAAGGTGAACATGGGACAGGAAATGACAGTATCGGAAAAGTGCATCTATTTTTGTAATTCAATTCGAAAAAGTTCTATTTTACTACTTAACGTTTACCCCACTTGTTTTTTCTACTTAACTTTCCGTTTTTATGCTTGGACAGCGCACCTTTAGGAAAACTTATCCTCCTTGTCAATGGTGTTTGATGGATAACTGTAGAGGTCTTCTAGATGGTTGTGTGCTCCCATGCTACAACATTTCTTTGTTAACCCCCCACCCCCCTTTTAAATTTGTCTTTATTTATGACATTCGCTTTTCCAAACAAACTTTAATTTTGATCTGTATTAGTTACATTTTCTAATAATTAAAATTGAGAGAAATACACATGTGAAATGTATCACTCCCAGTGTAATCTCTGTCCCTTCTTTGAAACAATTTATTGGAATAAATTTACATTTGAATGCATTTCTAATTTCTTGTAATAAACTGTATCCTTCAAATATAGAATTGTTGCTCCAAAAGAACAACAACAAAAAAAACCCTCAGCACTTTTATTCAGTTTAATGATTATTTAAATAGCTGGCATTTTGGAAGAGACGGGGGTCCTTCAAACGCCTGGTAGAAAAATCAATTAAAACCTGGCTGCCTCTCAATGTCAATTTCAGCCCAATCATTGTTCATATTGAGCCGGTCACAGCGAGTACATGTGATTGTCGATGGATTCATCCAAATGCAAATTCCAAGAACAAAACAGGAAATGAAAGCTGGAGAGTCGGAAAGAGAGAAGAAGGGGAAACATGTCAGAGAGGGTGGAGGGAATTTGAATGACGGATGAGAGGGGAGAGATGAAAAACGTGGAGGAATAGACAACACAAGAGGAGATTAGTTTTAGATATTTCCCCCCCCCTCCACCCCCAATTCCTACCAGCTTCAAGGATGACAGTCCTATTGGACCTAACAGCGCAATCGCCCACCCATCATCTCCCCTTACCCTTTTCTCTCCCTGTTTCAAACACACTCGCAATCTGCCTTTTCATCTTCTGCTCCTTGCACCTCCGCTTTCTTTCCCCTGGCTCTTCGCTTTCCTCCATCAATTTCCTCCAGGCCTCCACCTCCTTCTCTCTATCTCTCACATCATCTGGAAATGTGGCTCTCCGGCGGCACCATTATGCTTCAGATGTACCTCTCCCTCCCCTCCCCCAGGCTGCAATCCGTCAATCCTAGCACCTTTCTAATATGTTTATTCTCCACTTGTGTCTCTCCCTTTCTCTTGCTTCTGTCCATCCTGACCAAATTTCTGTAAGCGCGCACGCACACGTGCACGGCACTCGTTGGCTCTCTCGCGACTCGGCTTTGATCTTTATTCTCCGGTCACAAACAAGGCGCACACTCCCACCTGTGAGCGCACGCATTTCGACAGATGTGCTTTAATAGAAAGCAGCCATCACCGTGTCTTCCTCCTGAGCGTCCAAGCCTCTCATCGGACAGAAGATAGAGACAGAGGGGAGGAGGAGGAGGAGGAGAAGGAGGAGGAGGAGGAAGGCCTGAAATTGATGGTACGGCATCGACCTCTCCGTAAAACCTAGTTAACACCTCCCCAGCCTGTGAAATCTGATTAGATGAGTGTGAGTCTGTGTTTGTGTCATCACATGTGTTCATAACGCAAAATGTTTCACAGGTTGTTTTTTTTCTTTTTTTTTGGGAGGGGTGGAACAAGCCTGTAATCCCTGTCTGATTAAAAACACGTTGATGGGTTCCCGTTCGTGTGCCCTAAGTGCTCTGTGTGTGTGTGTGTACATGTGTGTGTTCCACAGCAGCCAGAACAGTCTCCGCTGATTACATCCCTTCGAGTCAATAGTGAATAGAGCACTCAGCCTGATAAGCAATCACATGAATCAATACTAATGTTTTTAGCGTGTGTACATAAGCATGCGCGTGTTTGCCCGTGTGTCATTCCTGAAATGCGGGTAATCTAGTCGGAGCGCAAGGTGGGTAAACATTTGGTTACAGGTGTTGTGGTTTCAGGTCCCCTCTGGTCCGTTACTTCCTCTCCAAAGAGCTTTTTCACCTAACACCTGATGCTTTCATCATGTCACCTCTTAGAGATCGGAGCTCTTTTTATCCTCTCCCCCCTGCCCTCCCTCCACCGCTCCTCCATTCTTTCCGTCTCATCCGTTTCTCCTCTCTGGCCTCCATCGAGGCTGAGCCTTAACAAACCGTCTAACCTTCAAAGTGAGTGACCAAAGAAGTCCACGCTTGTCACATTCAGCGGAGCCCAACCTTTAATCAGACTTTTTTGGTAAATGTCAGAGATGGACGCCCTCTTTTTTCACACCTATGTGTAATCTCTCCACAGACTGATGTCGAGAGGGACAGGAGGGAAAGTCAGATTATAAATAGGTAAATGCAGCGTTAGATTGCCAAACATGCTCCTGGCATATGATTGCTTTTAGCAGTGAAACGAAGTGAGCCTCAAAAAGCTTCCTGTCAAAATGTGCTACAAAAGTATTCGCTCCTCTTGAACATTTCTACATTTTGTCACGCGGTTCATTTGGATTTTATTTGCCTGGTCAACAAATAATAGTCTGTTATTACGAAGTTGAAGGAAAACTTGGTACTTTGCAGTTAAATTAAAGCGGCAATTTAATTTAATTGCCGCTTTAATTTAGTGAAAAGAAGACAGTCCCGATGTCACCATTTTTTGTATTTTGTTCTACTGTGGGGATGGTTTGGTTCAGGGTTACATGCAGAGTTTTCTCCCACACAGCAAATTGCATGCAAGTAAAAAAAAAATTTAAAAAAAAATTGAATTGTGATCTCCCACCGCCACAAAACCCTATTTCACGATTGATGCCTTCTCTTCAAGGGCTTTAGCAAACTACAAACAGGAGTTTTTATGGCTTTCTTTTAACAATGACTTTCTTCAAGCCACTTTTCTTTGAAGACCAGATTCGTGGAGTTCATAACTAATAATTGTCCTTTCAGCAGAATGTCTCTGTAGTTGTCCTTTACCGTTCCCAGGTTCAAATGGGAACAGCGCTCAAAACATGCTTCAACTTCTCCACTATTCAATCCTTGACCTGTTTGGTGATTCTCAGACTTCATGATATTGTTTGGCAGCATCAAGATGTGTAAAACACTTGATAAATGGCAAAGACCCTGAATAAACAGCCAAAGCTGCAATGCAATTGCTGAGATCAAGGCATATTCATGGGTTCGTGTGGCCCTGTCAAAGCTCAGAGCTGAATCTGATTGCAATTGCAAATCTGTGGCATAAAAAATACTACTTAAAGTAAAACAAAAAAAGAGAAAATCAATTTATAGATGTACAAAACTGTTAGACATAAACCAAGAGATGTGCTGCTGTAATCACATCATAAGGTGGTTCTAAAAAGTATCTCAAATACAAAACAGCTCCACACTTTTCAGATTTTAGTTTTATAAAACAGAATGAGGAAACATTACCTGTGTCTCATTTTACTTGCCGTACTGTTAAATTTTACTTTCATATAAGACTTTGGGTTTTTGGGTGCCCATATCTTTCCCTTACCTTCCACTAACAACGAAGCAGGTCACCAAGAAGATGAGGAGAACAATCCCTCCTGCAATGGACACAACCAGAATGGTGGACTGGTTTGGGTCCCCAATGGCCAAGACGTCTGCAGAGCCAGGGAAGCAAAAAAAAAAAGAAAGTGAACGTTATAAAAGTTTATTAAAGCAGGTCTTGGCGAGAAACGAATGAAGCCCACGGCATTTTCTGTTGGAGGTAAGGTGAGATTAAGGCAGGCTGGGAGTGAAAAGACAGAAAATGATACCACGGACGTGGCGAGGGAAAGAGAGAGCATGAAAAATTACAGTATTAGAAAAGACATAAAAGACAGAGGCAGGAGGGAGGGAGAGAGAGAAAGGGAGAGAGAGGGAGCAGCAAACAGAAGCACAAGAGAGGAAAGGGAGGCGGATGGAATAGTAAGTAAGGCTCTTGATGAAAAGCTTTCTCCCTCTCGGTATCGCCTGTGAGGGTACAAGAGGAGACATGAAAGCCATTCCTATTCGGCCGCGCTGTCCAAATGGATATGTTAACATTGCACATAACAAGGCGAACGCCAAGAACTTTCTGCAAAGACGCATCGATTTTTATGCCACACCAATCGAGCCATTACTCAAAACAAATACCCCCATTTATCTGGCTTAGCTGAGCGTGAGCAGACATCCACGTCTGCAAGTGTGCGTGTGGCGCACATATGCATAATACGGCCGGGCATCTTGAGAAGTCGTAATAATCCAGGCATTGATCTCCTGTTACAGTCGGAGGCTCGCTCACGCGCACCGTCCTGTAATGATCAATGCAGCTGATCTGATTAGATAACTTGCACGTGATTGGTACAAGATCAGCCAATTAACATTTTACGACGCCTTTACTTTGATGTGGACCCGTTGTTGTGAGGAGGCTGTGGACCACAGAGACCCGTGCAGCATGTTGAGGCATCAAATTAATGATATTTGTTGGAGCGCCGGAGAAGAAGTAAGGCTCTGAAATACTTTTATTGACAACTGAATGATTTATAGGGTAATGCATGCCTTTTCTGTGCTGCACAGTCAATGTACTTTGAAGCGCTACACATTTACTGATTCACTCCACTCTCCATGCCTGTCTAGGAATCAATGATCGCTTTGAAAGCCACATTAAAGGGAGTAAAAAAAAAAAGAAAAAAACCCCAAAGAGCTCATGATGAAGCAATATTAAAGGTGGCGAAATGGATACGTGACAGGGGAGTTTGACAACTATATCATAGGGATTCCACATAGTGTGCATAGTATGAGGCTTATCTGGTCTGAAATAACAGGGCTTGGGACAGCCAGCTCTGTGACAGGGAGGGGTTGGATATAAAAAGATAGCTAAATCCTTGTTCTCTGACTTTAGTTGGAGAAAACCTGTTCAGTCAGTCATTTCACTTTGCTCCAAAAGTCTGTTTGAATTAAGATCTCCAGTCCAATCCTCTATCCACATTTTTCCCCTTTCTTGTCAAACTGATTTGTCTTTCGTTTACTGGGAAAAAAAAAAAAAAGTACTTCAGCACACTTTGAAGCCACTGGCTCAAATGCGTGCACGGCAACACGCGAGACCGCCAGGGCGTCTCTGCCTCACAGCCAAACCGAGGAAGGAGCCGGGGTGAAAAGCAGGGAACTTTAAAACCACAAAGTGAATTCATTTAGTGAATTGGAAGGAGCGACTCATCTGATAATCATCATGGCAGCATGCATGTGTAAATATCTCGTGGCCTGAGATCTCGCAGTATCAAAACATCACGTCGGACTTCACCGAAAAATGGAGTGTGACTGGAAACGAGTGAATCGATTTCTGTCTGCTGTAAGAGATACTTATAAAAATACACACTGTTCAAAACAAAACTTAGAATCTTGATTTCCTCAGTGTCGGACATTACATCAGACTTACGTTTTCCAACACTGCCACTCAAAAAAAATCTCTAATTGCAAAATATCAGAATACAATAAGATCTAAGGCAGTGTCCTGTTTATCAGTTCAAATAATTATATCTGGATATAAAGACTATCCGGCTATTACAACGTTTAAGAAGGAGACATTCGGTGCCACAAAGTTAAAAATGATTTGATTTGAAGGTTGAAATATGTTTGGTAATCCAAAGTGACCTAAAACAGTAAAGAAAAGAAAAAAAAGAAGTAGCCTGACTGTACATGTCAGAAAAATTTAAGAAAAACACAAATTTTTCATTTCTGTAACCTTCACTAAGCTAAGGAGATCCAGAAATGTTACATGTGGCACAGCTTCCTCTTCTGTTTTTCTTTTATTGCTCCTTTTGGATCAAAGGCTTTAATATTATTGAGAATTCTGTTTGAAGAACTAGATTATTACTAATGTAGGTACAATTTGAAGTTGCTGCACCAAAATCATAGAAAAAAAAAGGTGAGTTCTGAGCAGAAAAGACAATGGAAGGAAAACGAAAAAGACAAAATATCTAATACAAAAAAATAAAAATACACACATATATATATATATATGTATATATATTTTTACCCTCATGGCTGGTTTCCAGTTCAATCTCCCCACCGTACGTCCCGTAGCCCCCATCAGTCCGAGCCCTGACTCTGAACACGTAGGTGGTCCCAGGCTTCAGGCCGTCCACTGTCATCATGTTGGATCGAGTCTTTAAAACCGTGTAGTTCTGTTCCCGCTGGTTCTGAAGACGAGCATTAACCAACAGGAAATAAAATAAATACTCAAAACAAGACATAAAAATGAGAACGGTTTTGATCTAGAGCTCTGGGCTGTGGTATCAGGAGACGCAGACTGAATAGAGATGTTTAAATCTAATACCGCGTCTTAAATTGTTGAATTTAGCAGTCTCTTGGAATCTAATGCACTTCACGACATTTTCGGCGCTGGTCCATTTGGCCACGTTTATATTTGAGCATCTGTCAAATCCCAAATCTTATCTTCTCTTAACTCTGGGGCAATATGTGGTTACTAAAGCTGCTTCGCTTTGTTCCTCGATTACCTTCCAGGTGCGTGCACGCACACTTAGATGTGTGTCTCTCTGTGTGTGTGTGTGTATGCAGAGGGATGATGAGAGAACAAGTTTGTCCGCCAGTAAGCTGATTCCCTGCTGAGACGCTGATACTCCACCTCATGGAAGACCTTCTACAATACGGATTAACACGATTTTACTGTTAATACATGCCAGCACACATAGTCACACAAGTCTAATTTCATCACCTTGGCTGTGTTTTACAAGGTTTGTTGGACAGATGTGTGGTTAATTAGCTTGATGTGAGCAGTGGAGGGGATATGATAAAAAAAAAAAAAAGGCAGAGGAACCGGAGTGATAGCGGCACATTTGTGATGAAAAAGTCATTAGAGACGTGGCCTTAGGCTAAACCCATATCCTGCCAACATGTAGGAGGAGCACAAGGAAAACAGGAATGAGCATTTAACTGTAATAAATCTGAAAAAGGCTTGCTGCAGTCATTTTGAAATAGTTGATTTAGAAAAAACAAAGAGAAAGAAACAATGAACAAATTTAGATTACTTGCACGCTACCCGTTATTGTCAAGACGTCTTTTAGGGTCAATAACTAACATCCCCACCCGCATTTAATGTCTGCAGATAATTCAAATCTTCTGGTGTAAAGAACTACAGTATAAAAAATGATAAATTCATATGAAAAGATTTGTGAAAAAAAAAAAAATCATTTTAATGAGATGCCACAAAAGGTGCTGAAGCCACCACCAATTTCTCAGAGCATACAGCAATGTAAGCACTCCTCCTCCCTGAGCTGGTGCTGCACACTTTTGGTCAGCTGGCTGAAATCAGACTAACCAAACCAGACAAGCAAACCTGCAAAAACAATTTCAGATTTTTTACCAACAATAAAAACATTTACTTGACAGCAGGTATTAAAAGGGTTTTTATTCTGTACTTTTGTTCTGATCTAAAGTAAAATGACTACACAAAGTAGCGCTGCTTTGCATCAAGAACATCCCCGAGTCATGGCAATCCAAAAACATGCATGCTGCATCAATTGTTCTATTTTAAGTTGCCCTGAGGAGCAAATGTGTGTATCCTTCGTGTCTCTGTGTTGGTCTGCAAATGACTGTTGACCTGGTGATAGTCACCAAGGATACGCAGGTGTAAATAAAGAATGGATGGACAGATGGCATCGATAACCCTTTGAATGATTTCTAAGGAAGCTGACGCTGCGCAAACAGACTCTCAGCATAATATATAACCTCAATGGAGCACAGGAGAGTTGATCTGTTGTATCCTGTGCTGAACCTCGGTCACTGAACATGCAGGAGTTGAACATTTTGGCAACCTTTTGGACTTTTCAGTGATCTACAGTCACACACATATAAACTGTGGTTTCAATCATTTTTAACAGTGTTAATGAAAGACGCTAAAGCCAAATTTTGGAGCTGTTCCAATATTACTACGGGCAGGCGAAACCAGACTGCATAAAAACAACAATCTGAAGTCGGATTCAAGTTTCTGATCAGTAAAACTCCACTTTAGAATCTTTAAGAAATAGTTTGATACAAATGTTTTGAGTTTCCAGAGGACGAGGGAACATTTTTATAACATGACACGTTTTTTTCTACAACAGAAAAATGGAATTATGTTGTCCCTATCGGCAGAGAACAGTGCTTTTCAGTGCCTTCCCTCACCTTCTCATAGTAAATGACCTCATACTCCACGATCGCCCCATTTGGTCTCTCCGGACCCTGCCAGGCCAATGTTACACTGTCCTTGCTTCGCCTTTCTTTTAGCACGACGCTCACTAAAACGACAAGGAGAAAGCAGGAGCAGCAAGGAGAAAGATAAGTTAAAATGGTTACAAAGGAGGAGCAGAAAAGCAGATGGTTTGGCTAAACAAAGACATCAGAAAAAGCATGCCCACGGCGCTTTGTTGCACAAAGCCATATTGCAGTGTGTTTGTCATACATTTTGGTAATCACACAGCCCACGACGTGTTATGTGCAGTGCACGTGTGTTCGCAGCGTCTCATGAAGCGCATGTTTATGCTGCTCATATCACGTGATCTAAGCATTATCAACGTGAAACCACAAAAACTGTGTGATTTCCTCTGCAGTGTTTCCACACTGGGACACCTGCTCTGGTGGGATGACGGTGTGGGTTTACTCGCCTGCGCCTGTATCTGTGCAAATGTGTGAAACTCGGGCTTATAGCTGCGAATAGCATGTGCAGCACGTAATGTGGTTAACAGCCTCCTCCGCCCCTCTTCACTTTCCACTACACACACATCCACGCGTATAGTACGAGGCCTATTACTCATCGGCACCTCGTCATGAACACCTATCTTTTACACAAATTTCAGTCCCACCAAATGACAGACACACATACTGTCATGCCTACACGTGTAAGCGTAGACGCGTCAGGGTCATTTTGTGATATCAGTGAAATTCCCCATTGCAGCAAATTAAGGTTGTCACTTTTTTTTTTTTTTTTTTTTTTGTCGGTACAGTGCCTTGTAAAAGCATTCTAAATAATTTTACGCATTTTAACATTTTCTCACATTGCAACCTCGAATTTGAATGTGTTTTAAAAGTGATTCTGTGCAACAGACCAACATAAAGTTTAACGTAAGTTTGAAGTGGACAGAAGGAAATGAAACCTTCATGCTTAAAGATGTGCAAACCAAAATCTGGAAAGTGTGATATGAATTTGTATTCAGCTTCACAGATAATTCTGTGCAGAACCACTGTTAGTTCTCAAGAAAAAGACAATCTTAATTTTACACATTAAAACTCAAACAAACTCTTTGCTCAGGAAATATAACAATCCGGCAACTTTCAGGTTAAAATTCTGCTCTTTGTGTGTTATCGACGGTCATGTTTAAAACCATTACTCCAGCAAATGTGCACGTTCTCACCCGTCTGCGATGTTGTAACATTTATTACCACCGTGCCTCTGGGGGTCGGACTCAGATCTGAAACTCCGTTCTGGCTCTCGATCGTGAAGGTGTAGTTGGAGTCCGGCTGGAGGTCAGTGATCAGCACGCTGGCTGACGCGAGCCCGAACTGTCTCGGGACAAAATGGACGCTGCTGCCGCACGGCGCGCACTTTTTGCCTTCGCCGGAGCATTTTCTGCAGTGGAGGCTGTAGGTAATGTCCCCTCTGCCTCCCGTGTCGCGGGGCGGCGACCACTCCAGGGTGACGCAGGTCTCATTCACAGAGGAGATGGGGTTCTCTGGAGCAGACGGAGGACCTGATGGAAGAGAATGGAGGACGTATGTTTCTGCACGTGGAAAAACGTCATTCAATTGTAACTGGAAAAAGAAGAAAGTTAAACCTTGTTCCCCCCCACCCCCCCTAAAACACAGTCTCTTCTTGTCGTACATCTAACCAGACGTATAAATGTATTGATACAGAGATCTTCTTTTAGACTTCACATCTTGTATTTCTGGTAGGAGTTTTGATAGTTGAGAACTATTGCTTCAGAGAACTCTGTTTAATTAACGCTCATTTAAGAAAACCCTTCAGGATGTTATTCACCTTTATATTCACACCATCCCCTAAGTACAGGTAACGTCAATTTCTATTCAACTCAAAAAGATATTCTTATCTGCTTATTTCTAGAACAGTTCCTGAGCTGCTCTGTGGCCGCCTCGCTCTGCTTTTGAGAAGATTCCAGCACATCATCAATGAACACTGAGCTCATTCAAAGCCATTCATTTTCCATGGAAACCACTCGAGAGGAAGCCTCTGATTTTGGCTGCTTACAGCCCAGCGTGGTGCAGGGATCTCAGCCATATGAAAATTTTGCTGGACACAGATGCCAATTTCTCATGACATCTCATCAGGTCCCAGCTGAGCAGCGAGCCCCGGGAGGCTGGGGGTGGTGGTGGGTGGGGGGGGGATCAGCGGGGCCTGGGACCTTGTCTGATTGGTCTCCCCTGACAGTGAGCGCCTCTTCGTGGTGGAGGACGGGTGGGTAAATGTTACTGAGCTGCAAATCCCGCCATGGTCTTTTCGCCATCCCCCAACTTCATTGAGTGAAACTCGAGAGTCTGTCATCACCATTACTACTGATCAGCCTTTTTTGACACTTTTACGACACTTAGATTATATGACTTTTATAGACTCCTATTTCCCCCCCACTGTTCAATTCTTTTCCTGGGTCTCAAGTGTCATTCTCCATGTCTATGAATAATTCTTCCATCTTTTCTCCCTATTTTCTCATTTTTCACTCTCAAACCTGAAAATGGTGCTGCTAACCACTCAGCAGAGCACGTGTGTGTGTGTGTGTGTGTGTGTGTGTGTGTGTGACCGTATATATTCGAACAAAACCGTTACTCATTTCCAGCTGATAACACCTGTCATATCTCACCTGCTACAACGATTAATGAGTGTAATCTACCATAACCCGATAATGGGTTTGGGTATATCTGTCCATGCTTGAGTGTGTGCATGTGTGTCGTATGTCTGCACGTGTGTGTTCCTCCCCACTTCCTTTTTCTCGCCAACATGTCCAATACGCCACTGTAGTAAATCCAAGTCTTATTATTTACTTCCCCTGCGTGTTCTGAGAGAATATACAAAACGTTAAGATTGTTTATACTTCTTGAACTTTTTACATTTTGTCATGCTATAAACACAAATGTTATGTATTTAATTAGTATAGGAAATAGTTTAGTGGAAGGATGAAAAGAACCATGCTAAGGTGAAATTATACCTGTAGATTCTTTGGGACATGTCTCTATCTGCATACCATATCTAGAGAAATGTGTTTTCTTTGTTACAAAACAGCACAGTCATGTTTTTCCAGACCATTCCATAAAAATCTCCTGCTCTATGTTTAGTGACGTTGTCCTGCTGGACGGTGAACCTCTGCCCCAGTCTAAGGTGTTTTACAGGCTCTAACAGTTTTATTTCAGGATTGCCCTCTAGTTAGCTTCAACTAGCTTCCCATCTACTCTGGCCAGCTTCCCTGTCAGTATCTCCACAGCATGATGCTGCCACCACTTCATATTACCCTTAGGACGGTTGCAGTTGAAAACAAAGAATGAAAATGTACTGACTGCAACCACAAAACTATACTCCTTGGATGCATGTGCACTGTAAGTGTGCAGGCTGGGAAGTGTACACATTTAAAATGGCAAAGCAGTCATGCATTGCAAAGTCTTGTAAAAGTTTATCATCAACCTATTAAAGATTAGAGCTGTTGGTGTAAACGACATGTCAATGTAGCAAAGTTTTTTTTTGTGTTTTTTTTTCTGTTTGTGTTTGTATTACTCACGTGTGCAAGCCATTGAGCGTGGGTCGGTCTCAGCACGGTGGAAGCCTTTCTCACAAATGCACTCCATGGCCTGTTCATGTGGAGACGAGCTGTGAGGAGGACATTTGGTGCAGTAGGCATCTGTGGCTGAAGCTTTGTACGTTCCAGGTCTGCATGCTGGAGAGTAGAAATAAAGAATTTAATTATACAGACTTTAAATATTAGCCGCTCAATATAAAAGCTTAGCAACCCAGTAACTTTATTCGAGCTTTTGAAATTATAACGCCTGCCGTGTATATGAGGTTCAATGCATTAGATTTAGAATAAAGTTATCCCTTCTTCAATAAATATTATACGCCTTGTTTGTGCTGCAGGTGCAGTGATGCCCCTCTTGGCCAAAAATGCCCCGAAATAATTTGTATCTTTTTAGCCTCAATAATGATCTGAATAATTCTGCATTATTAAAATGTTTCTCCCACCGAAGCAATTACAGCAGTCTCTGTAGAAATCCAAAGCATAAAAAAAGCCTTTTTGGCTCAGTTGCATGTTATGAGTTATCTTTTAAAAGTGGGAGCTTCTCATTTTTAATGATTCATAAATTAGAGTTCACTAGCATAAAAAGATTCAAGTTTATATCTATAATATGATTAAATCCAAGAAAAAGAAAAAAATTTGTAAAAAAAAGTGTTGCCTTAAATAACAGCTTAGGATTTTTGAAATGAGGTTCTGTTAAAAGGTTATAATGAGTCAACTTCTTATCTTTAGGATGCGACCTTTAAGAAGTCTTAGTGCAAGTCCAGATTCCTTGGACCCAAAGACTGAAGTTAATGACTAATCTAAGAGAGGCTGAGATGAAACTGAACTTCTAGCATCTCTAAACCGTTAAAGTCTGTCAATGTAGTTTATGCAATGACCATTCAGACCTTCATCAGACCTTTAGCAAATTTGAACATTTTAAAGCCGCTTAACTATTCACATGAAGGGTTATGATGTTCTTGAGATTTGAATTGTTCCAAGATGGTACAAGGTGGTTTTATAAATGGCCCCATTAGGACTAGAAATTAGTTTTACTGTCCGCATGTAACTAATTGATTTAGACAAAAAAAAAAAAAAAAAAGATGCCATGAGAGTTTTCTACTGCAAGAAAGAAATCATCTTTCAACAAAACCACATTGAAAAAAAGATTCAAGACGTTTCAGTTTGATCATTGCTGCTGGTAACCAAGGGACTGTATCTGTGTCAGTCATTGGCAAAAATGTAAAATGCAATAAATACATTAAGAAAAATAAAGTCAGAGCAGTGATTAAAGGCAGTAGTTACCTAAATCTGACATATAAAAGGTTAGTTTTGTTTGCATAAAACAACAAATAACATTTTAAACCGAAAGAAGAAAGAATATGTCCACAGGTTAAAAAAGAAAAGAATAAAAAAACGAACTGCAGGGCCGTTCAGCACCCACGGCAAAGAGAAAGCAAACAATGTTGGATTTAATTTATTGTGACATAAGTTCCACAAGAGATCCTTTCTCATCAGGCTAAAGGCTTGCAGAACTACAGGCCGTTTCACTACAATAACCCGACGCAACAGCAGATCAGCTGCCTTTCCTCCTATGTAAGAATTAGATTTTGACAAAACCAGGAGAACAACGGTACGCGGCCTCGGTCACAATAATAATCGCAATAACACAGCACTACTTTTGCTCTTGGTGTTTCCGTGGTTGCATATTAGTCGTTACGCGGAGTCATAAAAGTGAGGAGGGAAAGCCCTGATACCGCTCAATGGAAGCAGCCCGGGGACTTGAATGATTTCCCTCTTGCATCCTACGGAGGGAGAAGGAATTCCTGGCTTTCCTTTCTAGCACCATGACTCCAGATTACACATGTATTTATTTACACATCTGCAGGCCTGGCAGTCCCATCCAGGCAAGCCTTTCTTACAGCCGTGCTAAAGCACCGTTGCGGCATGAAATGATGGCGTCTCCAAACATTGTGTACGTATTTACATTTACCGCAGGTTTGCTTCTGTGTATGGATCAATAATGTGACGCATTCTGCCAGGTGCTGATTACATGTTTGTGTGCCAAGAAGGTGTTAAGCATGCAGCAGGTGTGTGAATGCGCCAGCTGATTGCTTGTACCGCCGGTGAAGGTCACGGATTTAATCAAGCGACACGTCACTTCTCGCAGGAAAGCTGTAGATTCTCACATAAGTACAAACACCCACACACACACATGCACGCACACACACACACACACACACACACACACACACGTACATAAATTTGCTCGACGTTTCTGTAAACCAAGGGGCAGCAGAATGGAAACAGGGGCCTAAAAGTAATGTGAAATGTCCCTATGGCTGGAACTTCTTCCACCTGGATGATGTACTCTCTTGCATACAGACAGTATTTTTAGGCAAATCATTCATCATACAGGAGCCTAGTCCACTGGTGCAAACCCCCAGAGACCCAAAAGAACACCGAAAAAAAAAAGGATATGTGTGCTGTGTGTGTGTGTGTGCGTGTGTGTGGAGGAAATAGAAAGTAAAGGAAAAGGAAGAAAAAGAAAAGGAGTGATAATTCTCAGGGGCTTTCAACTCTTTCCTCCATCCTGTCGGGTTCTAAGGTATAGGGGTGCCTGTGTGCTGTGCTGGTGACCGTGTTTGTGTTCCTGTTGGCTGGGCTGTAGGAGCGCGGTGGAAAAAGCAGCTTTTCTCTAGAGGCCGTGCATCCGGAGAGTCCTGGCTGTCCAGCCAGAGGGGCACAAAGGATCCCACTGCTAAAGGACAGACATGGCAACACATGCCAGGCCTGGCGACCGAACAACCGCCCGATCTAAAACTTTCTGCGAGAATGGCGGCCTGGCCATGTGTGGAGCCCGCTTCACCTTAACGGTTCTGCTTGCTGCTCCGGTGTTCTACCTGACTCTCGTTACAGTTTTTATTAAACGTCTAAGGACATCTTAGACTTTGAATTTTACACCACTATACACAAAAGCTAGGTTTGCAAGCTGTTACACTTGTATGTGAGCCATTTCTCACAGTTTTTCATTTAAAAATTCCTTATATTTCTAGCACAAATTTCCAGAGCTCTCTGTCTCTATTAGCCCATGTTTAGGTATAAATAAAAATGGACTGATGGGAGTAAATGGACAAAAAGGCCTGGATGTTATGGACAGACATCCAATCAATGGAGGGAAGGAATAACAGATGGGTAGGATGGATCGACAAGCAGATGAACTATACAACATTCAAACAAGGGGATAGAGAACAATGTCTGAAAATAAAAAGTATTTTTCCGTACCCTCTTTTTTTCCCCCCAGTTCTTATCCAAGACATGGAAAATACTAGAATCAAATTTCCCGTGTCTTCCAGGCTATATTTGGAATGCGCTCAATAACTTATTTTCCTATAATCCTGATAAAAATTGGCCTCAGATGCAGGGTCCTATTAATTATTCATGTGGTCACCGGAGAGAGTAAGTGTATTCATGCCAATCGATATAGCTCTTAGATATGATATAGTGCTGCTGTTGAAGACACGCCCTCAGTCACCACGCTCTGATTGAGATGGGAACAGGACGACGTCTTCCCTCGGGAAAACACTGCACATCCGAACTGATTGGAGTCTGCTGATTCAATTTCTAACCTATTCCACTCTTTATAAGTCTGAAAATGGTTTCATTAACCTTTCAAGGAACATCAGAAAATGGAAACGCTGTTCCAAAAGATTGGGTGATTTACTATCATCCTACCGGTCAAACTGATCAAATTTGCTTCATATATCCATGTATTATTAGGTTTTATACATTTATATATAATTGTGAAGAGGAAGAAAAGAGAACAATGGCTTAACTTAGCACCTTTGATTTTGATAAACCTAATATAACACTATTCACTGAAGGTTTCAAAGGGCAGGGCAGGTCAGGGGGAAAGTTTTGGACGACTGTGAAGCAGGGTTAGGTATGAAATCAAATTCTCGGTTATGAAGAGCTGTTCTCGATCCACCATCTGTGATGTATTCACTAATGTAGTGTAAAACAGTTCAAAAGATATCCCAGTCACTGTTTTAGACTTTTTTACAAAATCGTTAACTACATTTTATTGAACTGTTGGGTGCAACTTTATTCATCAGTGTAAGAAGTTTTATTTTTATTTCATCTGACAAGTTTCACCACAGTCATTCTGATGTCTGGACAATTTTAACCACCAAGCGCTACAGATATACAGAACATCCGTCTTAAGATAAAACAAAAAGAATGTTTTGAGATATTTTTTTCTTATTTGCCATTTGACTTAAAATAATAAAAGTCAGTCGTATGGTGACTTTTAGTTTATGGACAAACCATAAGCTACAAGTAAATAGGAAACCAGAAAATGTTATAATTTACTGCAACTGAGGTTCTGAGCTTTTCCATAATCATCACGCCGCCTATTAATACAAACCAGGTTTGTGTTTCAAAGTCATTTTACTCAAACTTTATAAGAAAAAAATATGAATAATAAATTCTGTTTTGTGTGTTTTCGGCACATGCCTGATCAGAATACCAGCTTCGTTCTACAACAAAGCTCTATCCTTCATTCCATTCAAGTGTTTCTCCTAGTTTAGGCTCTGATTGATCTGTTTTCCTGCTTTTCATGGCGTTTGGTTCAAGTCAAACATTGGCCCGGTCCCGGCTTCAACATAAAGGGCAGAAAGAGGATGTCTGTGTGTGTTTGTAAATAGGCGGAGGGTATAGTTGGGTTGTTTATGTGTATGTATGTGTGTTCAGCGAGTGAAGTTGTGTAAAGCTTGCTGGCCCACGGGAGATGAGCTCCATAATGGTCACTATGGCAACAGGCTTTCAAGATAGAACCCTTCGAGTACCCCTCGAGTGGCACAGCTCCTGGAGCACAGAGCGGTCTGTGTGCTTGCATGAGTGCGCATGTGTGTGTGTGTGTGTGTGTGTGTATATACAGGCGTTAGTTGAGGCAAGCTATTTAAAAATTGATACATCAAGCGTCAGTGGAGAGATCTAACAAGATTGAGTCTGACGTCCTTCGCGGCCACCGAGGTCGCGTCTCCGCGTGTGTTTGTGCCCATGTGTACATACCGGTAAAAAAAAAAAAAAAATGCCGCGGATCGAATTGACGTTGCACTGAACGAACTTTGCACAGATGCTAATGAAAGTTGTGCTACACC